TGAGTTCAGGGGTCCTTGGGACCAGAAGGATCCCCTGGAGTTGGAGTTATAAGCAGTTATAAGCATACATGTTCTTAACCAATGAGCTATCTCTCCAATCCCCATTTGATGTTTATCTCTCCATCTTTTGCTATGTGTTTTCTTACTTTAGCTTGCTATATACTTAATAAACTCATGTATTCCAAACCAACAGTATGGCTATCAAGGATGAATCTCCAAACTGTAGAGAAAAATAATTTTCTTAAAAATACACACAGAGCACCCTTCCCTATGAAAAATACTTTGGTGGTGTTCTCCCAAAATGCTGCGAGTGCCTTAAACAACTGCTATGCTATCTTCTAACAGATGGCTTCACAACAATTTTTCATTCTCTTAACATCACCAAGTCAACCAAAAGCAGTAGGGATGACTCCAGTTTCCACATCCCCCACAAAAAAAAAAAAAAAAAAAAAAAAAAAAAAAAACAAAAAAAAAACACTCCCATAAGTTTTCCTCAACCCCATTCTCAGTTAACCCACTGTATACATGATCACTGTATACATTATACACATGCCATGTGGCTGGTGATGTGAATAAGCAACCTCTCTAAAAAAAGGACTATACAATTTGAACTTAACCTTAACTAAGAGCCCTAACTTAGAAACTCACCCTTTAAATGAACCAGTGTTGCCTGGGGGATCCCTATAATTATAAACAATACTTATGAACCTCCCAAAACTACATTTCTTGTATCAAAGCCAAGTATTAACTTTTCTCTTTCCTCAGCATAAAGTAAAATACACCTTAGATGTGATCACAGGAGACCTAATCTCAAGGAACTACGTGGGACCCAAGTAATTCACATTTGTATTAAGGCATGGGCCAGTAGTTATAGATGAGGAAACTACACCAGACTTCCTCTCTCATGGCAAAGACCTCTGTACCTTGCTACACCTGGATCAACACAGTGAACTAAAAGTATATACAGAGTAGATACTAGCCTAGTCAATGTTAGTAAGTTCATTTCAAAGAAATCTGCAGCAGTACTCATAAGGCAAGCAGACGTTTCGCTTTCAAAAGAATTAACTCCCAAACCCTATTGTAAATATAAGAACTGGGCAGGAAAAATATGGAAAAAATTGGAATAAAGTTGAGTTTTCCTTTGAAGCAGTAGATGATATAAACTACCTTCATTTAACTTTTTGCAAAGTTCTTCTACATTAGGAACCAATCCATTAATAACTATTGCTTTCTATTTAATGCGTGGAAATGCATTCTGTATTATTATTCTAATGTCTAAATTATTTTCAAATGTATATGTGAAACTGAAAACAATAGCTGGTTATGGACTACATTCTTTCTTATTATTGTGTATGTGTGTAAGATTACTAATGTGCACATGCCACAATGAGTGTGTGGAATTCAGAGGACAACTTTCAGAAGGGGTTAGCTCCTTCTACCATGGTTTCTGAGGAGGCAACTCAGGTTATCAGGCTTGGGCAGCAAGCACTTTCTTCCTACTTATCACCAGCCCTAGACTGCAGTATTAACTTAAAAATAAATTTACTTGGGCCACTATCTCTGAAAGTCAACTTTTTAAATGATATCAGTTAAGATTCTGAAGGTTGTGGGCGGTGGTGGCGCACACCTTTAATCCCAGTACTGGGACGCAGAGGCAGGTAGATCTCTGTGAGTTCAAGGCCAGCCTCATCTACAAAGTGAGTTCCAAGATAGCCAGGGCGCAAAGAAGCCCTGTCTCGAAAAACAAACAAGATTCTGAAGGTAAAATTTATCACTAAACCTGCAAACACTTCAAATTCAGTAGATGACCAAAACTGATCTAATTTTCTTTCCTCTCATGCCTAGTCTTCTAATTGCACTTTATTAGCCACTCAGGCTAGTAACAGTCGCTTCTGTCTCTCCTTTCCTGCATTCAGTAAACCAGCAGTCTTGTTAGTTATTTTTTCTTCTTGTGTAGGAGAAATATACTACCACTCAGCCTCTGCTGCAAGGCTGGCAGCCCTGAGAACTCCTCTTGTAATGTAGCATGTTCTGGATGTATTCCTGCTCCAAAGGGAAGGAGAGGGTACTTCCACATGCAACCTGAAATTGAAATACTATGTAAACACTAACTCTACTTCCTCTGTAGCCCATGACTTAATGTCAGGCCAATCTCCCACAGACTTACCATCTTCAAAACGATTTTCTCATCTCATTTTATCATAACTATGAACACTATAGGCATAATCAATCTTAATCACAAACTAATTATTTTATTTTAATAGTTTTGACCTCCATTCAAGTCTTTTTTTGGACTAAGTCCCCAGTGACTGCAGGACAACCCAATCTATACAATAGGGTATATAATTTAGTAGGACTTTACCTTTCCATCCAAGATCTAGTCTCTTCCCGCCCATTCATTATACCATGTTTTAGTGACTTTGCTAGCTGCTCCGTAAGCTACGTTCAGATAACTAAATTCAAATTATGCTTCCTTTTGCTCAGCTCCTCCATGAGGTATATGTCTAAAACACTTCCTGTATACTCTTAATGTAAGAACACCTATTACTATAGTTTGAACTCTCAGTTCTTCAGAGCAGCAATCCGGTTAGTCACATTAAAATTTCCCAATCCTTAACCATATGCCGGAGGTACAGTTGAACATATGCTAGGTAATATTCCAAATATTCAGCCATGTACAAGAAACAAGATCTACACTAATGTTTGCTCTACCTCAGGTACAAATTTTAATAAAAGTTAAAAAACAATACTTGAGAAAAAAATTAAAATCGAAAAAAAAAAAAAACCAGAGGCTGGGAACATGAGGAAAGTAAGGATAAACGTCCTATTGGTTGACTAGTACGGAAGGAAATAAAAGTCGGAAAGAAATCCAGAGGTAAGCATGTGGCCTCTAGGCGAGAGCACTACCTCAAGAAAACTCACTTCACCGGAAGCCAAAAGGGAGGGAGTAAAAGACCCTGGGGCAGCAGCGTGCAGGCCGGCGTAGTCGGCATCGGTGGCGGTCCGGAGGAGGTGCCCCACACATGAAAGGTGAAACTTCTGCTTTGAGAAACTAGAATCTCGAGTTCCCGGGCGCCTGGGGCCTCAAGACACCACCCTGGAAAACACACGCCCTATAAGACCGGCTGCTCCGCACGACCGACGGCCGGGGCGATGCACCTGACCCACACCGGGGACCGGGAGGCTCCGCAGGGAAGGGACAGTTGGAAAGGACAAGAGAAGCACGGAGGAGACGCGGAGGGAGGGAGGCAGGCAGGCAGGGAAGGCAGACGCTCGAGTCCGTCCAAGTCGAGTCCCAAGTCCGGAGAAGACGGCAGCGCACCAGGCAGAGGGGGGTGGGGGTGGGAATCCTTGCCCCTCGTGGTGTGGCTCCCCAGATCACTGCGTAGACGCGGCTGCCCCGGGGCCGAGGACGCGGCCGCAGAAGCAGCCCTACTTTCCACGCACGCCGACTCCAGTCCCTGCAGTCCCTTCTCCGACGCCGGGCGCGCCGGTGGCGGCAGGTGAGACCACCTGGCCCCAAAACGCGGACCTCCTCCCGGAACCCCCGGCCCAGGGACGGTCCCCTTGGTGCTCACCGAATCCTTTAATGAGCTCGGTGAAGACCCCGGGGTCGCTTTCCATGAGGCACCACTCCCCGGCATTGCTCGTCATGGCCCCGGCCACACGCCGCCCCCGACTCACGCCACACCGCGCGCTCTCCGGAGCCCCCGAGCACCAGCGGCCGCCACCGACCGGCCGCGGACCTTCAGCAAAACCCGCCGCCGAGCGTCAACCCCACGTCACCCCGCCTACTTCCCGACAGCCTCCGGGCGCCGTCACCTGCCGCGCGACGGAGCGCGGAAAGACGCTCTAGCCACCCAGGAGACGTCGACACGCCTCCTCCTCCTCCTCCTCCCCCCTCCTCCTCCCTCCTCCTCCCTCCCCCTCCTCCTCGGCCTCTCAGGATCCGTAGAGCGCCCTCCGCCCGGCGGGAGAAGGGGCGGGGCCTCGGAGCGCCGAAGGGAGGCACATCCGGGACCCTTGGCACTCCGGAGCTGGGGCGGAGCGAGGGGAGGGGCGGGGCTAGGGAAGGGGCGGGGCCCGCTCCGACCTGGACCTGGAGCTGTCCTCGCCCTTTCTGGCCGCCGGCCGCCTCTTCGCCGCGCTGCGCAGGGCTTTCTCCCGTAGGCGCCGCCGCCGCCGCGGGACCTGAGCGTCGGCTTCCAGGCACAGCTAGGTGGGTCGCTGGAGGCCTACTGCGGGCCGGGGAACCGGCTTGCGTGCGGTCCGAGCGGTCCTGGGCACTCGAGGTCGAGCCGGTGCGCACTCTTCTCCCACCGGCATCCCAGCCGCAGAGAGGCCAGTCAAAAGGCTTCGCCGCCTCTGTGCGCCCGCGCCCGCCCCGCAGCAGGACCGATCCCCCGCCGGGACATGTCGGGCCTGGCCCGGTTGCACCGGAGGCTAGTAGGGTCTTGGGGAAGCCAGGACGACTCTACTGCTTTTGCAAAGCTCCTGGAGGGCGGACGGGCGGGCGTGCCAAGGCCCCTTTTCACTTTCTCTCCCCCCCCCCCTTCCTCCTGCGGCTTTGGTACAGAGGCGTTGTCTCGGATACGGGTTTGGGAAGGAGCTTTGTGGGGAAGACGGAAAGCGAATTTCTCTTAGAGGAATAGTAAACGATTTGTTTATTAATTGCCCTAAAAGATTTGTCCTAAAAGTCCAAAGGAATGAGAGAATCGTGTATCAGGATTCAGTGCCTTACGGAGAAATGAGCTTTTTCCTCCCCTCTTAATATAATGCATTACTTTAAAAAACACTTGAAATGGTTCTGATGAATTAAAGCAAAAATGGCTACTTTCGATTAATACTTCTCATTCATAGGACTCCTACAGAGTGTCGTAGTGTTACATAGTTTTAAAGAGTATAATTTTTCAGCATTTCTTAAAAGCATGTTCCAAGGAAGGCTTTTGGCTTCCAGAGGAAAAAACATTGTTCAGAGCATACTACCGTGGTGACATCTTGCCACAGTGCTAAATACTTTTTAATTGCCCCGCGCTTGAGACACTTATTTGCATTACCTTTGTGTATGGTATTCATATTTGAACTGTGGTCCTAGTTTTTGTAATGTAGTATAACTTCATAAGTGTAAATTACTCTTAGCTTCCATTTTAAAAGAAACTGCATATTTGTTTGACTTCTCAGGGTAAAAAAAAAAGCATTTTCAAATAACAGATGATTCAGAGATACTGATTTCATAGATGTGTAGATTGAAAGAAAATACAGGAATATTTATATTAGTAATTGTAGCATGACTCTTAAAGGGTCTTAATAATAAAAACAAACCCAGAGCCAGTTATTGGGGTGAATGCTGGAAGATCAGAGAAGCAGAACAAGCCACAGTTTCCTTGCCTCACCAATTCCTCAGCTGAACTGCTGCTAAAAGCCTAAAAGCTTAACAGCCTCTAGTTCCTGGTCCTCATGGCCTTATATACCTTTCTCCTTCCTGCCATCACTTCCTGGGATTAAAGGCCTGTGTTACCATGCCTGACTGTTTCCAGTGTGGCTCTGAACTCACAGAAATCCAGACAGATCTCTGCCTTCGGAATACTAGGATTAAAGGTGTGTGTGCCACCATTTTCTGGCCTCTATGTCTAGTGGCTGTTCCGTTCTCTGACCCCAGATAAGTTTATCAGGGTGCACAGTATATTGGGGGACACAGTATCACCACAAGTAATGGTAAAAATATACATTGTAATTTGGATGATCTGAATTTGAAGCAGAAGTGTTATTACACCAGTATTTTTACCAGTGTCTACCTATTTTATATTCTAAGTTAAGAAGAGAATGGGCAACATATAGAACAACCTTATAGCTAAGATCAAGTGTAGAACACTCAAAATATTGTCATTTTTTTAACAGTTAATGTCTCTCAAAGCTTTAATTTATAGTTTTTTATTGTTAAAAATTTTTATTCATTTTACATACTAATTTATAGAGATTTAATAAAACTTCAACTGGTATAAATTCTTGAGACTGTTGTGTTAAAAAAAGGTCAGAACAATTCAAAGAAGAATTAACCTTATTCTTGCTGACTTAGATACACTTGATTATTATAGGAGTAGATTACCAGATAACTAGACTTTGATTTGCCTCCCTGCCCAGCTGCTTTCTAAGCCACTGGATTGAAGCTTAAATTTTGAGGAAGGGGACACTGGCATTGAAGAAAGAAGAAATTAAGCTACTGTTAGTTAATGGGAATCTTGAACCTGTTTTGAGGCTCAGGATGAGTCACTTCATTAGTATTACTAAGATACTCCCAGCACTTGGTACATTCCAAGGGATTTTGAAACTATCAGGAACTACTGTATCACCATGTCCTATAACATTGCCAGTTTTAAAGTAATCAGTATTTCAGTACTGAATGACAAAAAGGAGACTATATAGATTGAAATATACTGCCATTCAGTTCTCTATATTTAAATTTTTTATCCTGATATCTCTGGAAGTAAAGAAGTGCTGTGGGTGACCTAGTCACCAGCACGGCAAGATGCACTTCCAAGATGCCGGCTCTGTAGCCTGAGGGAGTTCTCTTCAGAGACCTAAGCTCACATGTAGCTGGGGCCCCCTGACTTCCATTGCAGAAGACAGTTTCCAGATGAGTCCGTCTGAAGCCAGGCTAGTCGTTGTAGTTCATAGGCATCATAGCTAGCTAGGTAGGACTGTTAGCTGCTTCCCTCTCTTGGAAGCTTGCATGGTATCTTCTGGTATCATGAAAACTAGTCCTCAGGGAGGAGGCTTGCAGGTCAGATCCATTTGGAGCTCTCTTGGTCATGTGTCTGATATACATGATGTCTTCAGCAATAAGGAAGGACTTACCTTCCTGCTCTGGGAGGCAACTATAGGCAACAGCAATAGCCTATAATTTTTTGGGAATCTCTTAGACAACCCTGACCAACAACTCAAAAGGGGACTTCTCATACCTAGTGTTGGGGTTTTTGTTAGATGGTCTCTGGATCTTTGGGGAAGCATTGTCAGCCCAGGTAGCCAGATGCCATTTAAACTATGTCTACACAGACTTCTATGTATTATATGTAATTTTAGGTAAATAGATAATAATATGAATCCTTATGACTTTTTCAGACATCCATACTGTTATTTTACCCCCCTTTCTTCCTTCCTTTCCTCTGTAGTGACCTCCCTCCCCGCTTCTAATTAGAGTCCCTACCACCATCACCCTGTTTCACATTTAGGTCTTTGATTTCTTTGGATTTAGTTGTACAAGGTGATGCAGGTCTAACTTGATTCTTCTGCACGGGAACATCTAGTTTTCACAGCATCCTTTGCTGAAGATGCTGTGTTTTTTCCAGTGAATGTTTTTAACATCTTTGTTGACTATTAGAAGGCTGTAGTTATGTGCTGTATGTAGGTCTGTTTTCTTTTCTTTTTTTTTTTTAAGTTTTTTTTTAAGTTGGTATCTTTTTAAAAAGTTTTTATTTTATTACTATGGCTCTGTAATATATCTTGAAGTCTTGAATGGTAAGCCCTTCAATTTATTTTTTATTTTTTGCTCAGGATTGTTTTGGCTGTCCAGGGTCTTAATCATTCCATCAGCCCTTACACACACACAGCTTCTTTCTAGGAATTTTCTTTCCTTTCACAACATCTAATGTCACCAAACACACATGCACACACACACACATACACACACACACACACACACACACACACACACACACACACACACACAGAAAGATACTCAGAAAAACAGGTTAGAATATAGGCATAACAATGACTCTTGGATTTTGTAATAGTAACCGTGTGGGTGATTGTTGTAGCTTTTAAATTTATATTACTCAGAAGGCATAATTTATAATTAGATTTAAAGATTAAGTAAATGAAGCTTAAAATGAAAAATAAGCTAGTTTGCTCATTGCTTTTTAAAGAAATTCCTTTTATGAATAAAATTGTGGAGTGGTTGATGAGGTACATTTTTCAGTTTTATTGATGAGAATTGAGTTACTGGTAAGTTTAAAAGTCAAAGGTTACAAATGTATGAGATGTATGTCTTGACCTTAAGGATTGGCCATTAGCTGTTTTAATGCTCTTCTTAAGGTAGGTCTCAGCAAACAAAGTATCATTCTTTGAAGGGAGTCTTGAAATGTTTTGGTCAGTTGTAAAAGCTCTTGACTCTGTCAGTGAGAGGTGTGAGCCGGATTTAGAGGAGCTGGGGACTCCTTTCCTTTATTGTCCTTGTAATTTCCCTTTCTGTGCCTTTCTATCGTCCCTCTGTTCTGCTGCTTCACACTGTACCCTGGAAAGTATAGTCAGAGAAGCACATGCAAGTCTGCTTACGCTGAAAGAATACTGGAGGAGCACATCTCTTTGGCTGTTACCTGTCTTTTATTTACAATTCTAGAATTGGTCAATACCTTATTCTATAAGACATAGTAGTCTCATTGCACACTGGCAAAGCAGGGATCTTTATCATAGAAAACTGCCTGGTTAGCATCAGTTACTTTTTTATAAGAATTAAATTAGGAGGGACTTCCTTGTTGACTCAGATAGATTTGCAATTCCTATTTTGGGGGAGGTCTTTTGGAGGATCTGTCTAGTCCCTTAAATTTTTGGTTTGATCCTGCAGCATCTAACTTGCAATCACGATGTAATCACTATGTTTTGGGTTGGTCTAGTCTGTTGAAGACTAGTGCAGACTTCAGAATGAGATGATGCCTTCTCATAAACTGTATTTCCATTTGAAGTGGTAGAAGTGAGTTTGGTGACAACTGTAATCACAGGACATGAGAGGCCAACGCAAGAGGGTTACATGCTCCAGGCCAGCCTGGTCAGAGAAACCGCAGGAAAACCTAACAGAGAAATTCTCTTCTCTGTTGACATTTTGCCCAGTTCTTATTACTTTTCTTCTTGATTGTATTTCCTGCATATAAAACATTTATAGCTAGGTGGTGGTGGTGGTGGTGGTGGTGGTGGTGGTGGTGGTGGTGGTGCATGCCTTTAATCCCAGCAATCAGGCAGGTGGATCTCTGAGTTTGAGACCAGCCTGGTCTTTGAGTTCCAGGCCAGCCAGGACTGCATAGAGAAACCCTGTCTCAAGAACAAAACAAAACAAAATTTATTAATTTATTGGCAGGATTTATCATAAAGAATTGTAAATTTTTCATCATTTATGGTGAGGCTTTTTCAAAAGAAGTGAATTACAGAAAAGAAAATCCATTGTGCATTATTTCCATTAAGCGCATAACCCCCAAAATCAATTTTGATGCTATTTAGTTTTCCTTTAATGTGTATTACTCCTTACTTAGCTTTGATGTTCTAGATGTATAAGAAAGATTTTAACATAAAACCCAGTCCTTGCTTGTTCTCCTAGGAACCAATGATGTATAAGAAGTAGATATGCTTGGGATGAATAACAGAAGGAAAAGAATAAGAAAGATCTCTTTTGAAGTTTGGGCTCAGATCTTTAAATCCCACCATTTGAACTTTGGGGGAGGAAAACAGAAATAGAAGAGTAACGTAATGTTAAGTACCATGTCAGTGTTTCTCCGCTAACATGTGTGAATAAGCTGGAGTAGACAGGCTGGAGTACCATCACAGTATTTTTGTGAAAGCTAAGAATAGGCTCGTAATGGTAACTACATCGTAAAGATCAAATGGCAAGGATTTCTCCTCGGAGTTGTGAGTGAAAGTGGAGTCGCTGGAAATGTTCTCCCGCCTCTTAAAAAAAAAAATGGCAAACTAAATCGAGGACACGGTAGTGGTAGAGGCTTTAAGCACCAGGAATTTCAGCCTGTCCTCTGTGACTGTAAAGCCTTCCCTAATCCCTCATGTGGTCACTTTCTCTGCCACCACCTGAGCCCTACCCTGCACCAGCCCTAACATAAGCAGCTTTGTAAGTTTTATTTGAAATGTTGACTCTCATATTTCCCATGTAAATTCAAATCACTGTCCCCTTTGTCACATTCAGAACGGAAGACTGTCCAGTCCCCTCCTGCACTTCTCGCTACACCATTGTTTGCTGTGTGGTATCCCAGTTCCCCCAGCTACCTGGCTTCCCCACCTACCTTGGGGCATTGTCTGCCAGACGGAAATTTCTTCATTTCTCATCTCTCTCGAGTTCTCTTCCTTAGCACTTCTTCCCCCTCAGAGGGAAGGCAGGGTCTCGCTTTTGTCGTCCGTGCGCCAGTTTCAAACTCAGCACTGTAACCTTTTCTGTCCTGTTTCTTTTAGGCGTCTCACTCGCTCAGTTCTCCCCTCTCTCTGCTGTCCATTCTCCAGGCTAACTCTTTCAACATCAGCCTCAGTGTCGCACCCCCGGGTGTGACAACAAGAAAGTTTTCTTCTGGCTGGCAGCTTGTGTCTGCCCCTCCTTTATAGCTCACAGCTGTGCTTCTGGGAAGAGAGCAGCTCTGTGGAGTGGCTTGCACAGTCTCCTGTTCTCACGGGACTCAGCCACACTTGGGTTTGCTGGTTACTTCTGTTTCCTAAGCCACGGCAACAGTCACTTCCCATCATTATTTTATTTAGATGATGGACTCCAAGCATTTGACATTGCTAAACATTATTTCCCTGAAATCCTCTGCCCTGTGCTCCCTTTGTGAGGGCAGGTGTTGGAATGGAGGCCAGCGATGCACAGTTCTTTAGGGAGCTGACTTTTCTTAGTGTTGGCTGTAGTTGCCCCCTTTTGTCCTCATCTGGCCCTCCGAGCTCACACTGATTAACCCACTTGATTAATTGGACCTAATATATTACACCTTAAAAATTAGTTGTTATTTGTGATCGTTATACTACTTTTGAAGAATTGGGATTTCTCTAGATTATAAAAATATATGAGTAGATATATAAAAGTTTTAAATTATAAGCAAGGTCTTACTCTAAGTTGCAACTAGAGGATCACATGTGATTTTGAGGGTTTTGTTTTGTTTTTTCTATTTTCTGCCTTTTCTAATTTTTCTTAAGGACATCTATAGTGATGTTTTACTGGGGAAAACTTACTGAGCTCAAAAGATGCTTTTCAGTTAAAAAGTTTCATAACATTTCAGTAAGCAGAGATTTCCTATTGTTTGCCTTTATAAAGTCGTATTGACTCCTTTTATTTGTAATAACATTTTGCCTTTTTGACAGGTCTCCCAGAGGACAAGGAAGATGGAGGAACCTGTAGACCAGCGGCAGCCACTGACTGCGAGCCAGGTAGCCAACTCGGAGGGCGGACACGTATGGCAGGTCACAGACATGAACCGGCTGCACCGCTTCTTGTGTTTTGGTTCTGAAGGTGGCACCTACTATATCAAAGAACAGAAGCTGGGTCTCGAGAACGCCGAAGCCTTAATCAGACTGATAGAAGACGGCCGAGGAGGCGAAGTGATACAGGAAATCAAGGCCTTTAGTCAGGAAGGCAGGACTGCCAAGCCAGAGCCTTTGCTGTTTGCCCTGGCCGTCTGTTCCCAGTGTTCAGACATCAAGACAAAGCAGGCAGCCTTTAAAGCTGTGCCTGAGGTCTGTCGCATTCCGACCCACCTCTTCACCTTCATCCAGTTTAAGAAGGACCTGAAGGAAAGCATGAGGTGCGGCATGTGGGGCCGTGCTCTCCGGAAGGCCGTGGCGGACTGGTACAATGCAAAGGGTGGCATGGCCATTGCCCTGGCCGTTACGAAGTATAAGCAGAGGAACGGCTGGTCTCACAAAGACCTCTTAAGACTGTCGCATCTTAAACCTTCCAGTGAAGGTAAGCATACGCTTTGCCTAAGGTGCTTAATAAGTAGCAAAATTTCGTTTGATTTTCTAGAGTTAGCTTTCACTCACCAACCATAATGCTGTTTAATTAATCCAGACATATTTAAAACCCGCTTGAAACTGAAGACCTGCCACGGGTAATCTTGGCATTGATAATCAAAGTTTGAACATGCCGATTTTATACTTTGAGTTATTAATACTTAGGTTTTAATTTCCCTTCTAAGAAAGATTAGTAATTATGGTGATATTTTATTTGTACTGAAATGTGATTTTATTTGTATGTTAATAAATAAAGTTGCCTGGGGGTCAGATCTAATAGCAAGCCATAGCGGAGCTGGGTGTTCGTGGTGCATGCCTTTAATCCCAATCACATGACAGGCAGATCTCTGTGTTTTCAAGGATACAGCCAGCATGGAGACACACACCTTTAATCTCAATACCAACCATAGAGACCTGGAGGTCTGTATAGACAGGCAGTGATGAGGAGGTCATGTGGTTGGGTTTACAACCAATGAGAAGGCAGAACAGAAAGTCAATAAAAAGACAGACACACAGGAAGTAGCTCTCTTTCTGAGGGGAAGGACAGCAGCGGCAGGAAGGGTAAGAAGGCGGTTTTAAGTCTCAGCTCTCAGCTACTGCTCCGACCTCTTGGGCTTTTGACTCTGCATTTGGTTCTGTGTTTCTTATTTAATAAGATTGTTACATCTACAAGTAATTACTGTAATGCAACTAACTTTTCAAGTCCCTTTCCACAGGCACTTTCATACGTTAGTGCCCCAAATGTTTAGTTCATCATAGCCTTCCAGGTCCATGACAGGTAGATTTCAGCAAGAGAGGGGAAGAGCAGCAATCCAGAGCAGTGCAGTTTTGCTGTCTGCCACCTGCTGTCAAGAAGATGTATGCTTCCTAACCCTGAACCTTGTCTATACTGCACTCACAGACATAGTCACTGGTGAGCATTCTAGATAACTGGTCCCATTTTAGGATGTTAAACTGTTAACCTGTCAATCAGTCATGATTCCTATTAATGGCTGGGTTATCTGTGTAGCAAGTATTCGGTGTCCAGCTGGCTTTAAATCTATCTGACTTAATTCATCAGCATTATGTTTTGTGAATGAAAGCAGTTGGCATGGGTATTGGGACCAAAACCCAGGTCCTCTGTAAAAGCAGCAAGTGCGCTTAACCACTGAGCCACCTTTCCAGCCACTTCCTCAATTTTTCTCTAGATTTGAAAAACCCATTTCCATCCTAAAGTCACATGCACATGAAATACATGTGGTTTTTCCCTTAAACATACCATTTTTTACTTTTAAATCTGATCTAATATAGAGTGGATGTCATTTTACTCTGTGTTTTGACACTGGGGTAGTACAGAGCAAGCACCTCAGGGTAGAAAGACCCTGATTACTAGTGATAAGGAGCCGATTAGTCTCTAAACAAGAGATACTGTACAGGCTTCCTTTTCATGGTCTATAAAATCAGGACTAGAAGATGGTCCCTAAACTTACTTCCACGTGAAATTTTCTTTCTCATTTGCTGAGGGCAAAGCTCATATTCAAGTTCTGTTGATAACAGCAACATCATAGACGATCCCTAGGTGAAAAGAAATTTAAACAAACTCTGAACAATATTAGAGTAATAATATATGTTAATGTATTAACTAAAATGTGTATTTATAACAGACAAAACAAGTCAAAGTATAATTCTGTTAGTCAAGGATTTATTATGTACCTGTGGATTTAAGGGATTTTTATTTTTATTGGAAAAGCAGCATAGATGGCATTTTTATTTATACAGATTTAAGACAGCTTTGTCTTAAATCTATAAGGTAGCAAGTTACAGTACTGTAGAAATTCCTGTATTAACTTTTGGTCGAATTATCTAAATTAGAATTCAAAAATAGCACATAGGCTGGCTCAGTTTTACTTAGGGATATATTTCATTTAGCCTATAAAAATATTTTAAGAAAAAAATTAAGTTTTGTCAGTATATTAAAAAATCAGAAGACTTTATATAAAAATTTATATTCTGACCTGCCATCAGATCAGCTGACCATGCTGGGGTTGAACCTGAGGCCTCATACATGGTAGGCAAGTACTCTATGAAGCACTGAGCTATATCCCCAACCCTTTTATTAATTTTCATTATCTATTCATTCCAAGATTAGACCTAAGCTATACACATACAAGGTAAATTCTCTATCACTGAGCATTATCTCTCACCCTCTAAACTTTTTTATTTTGAAGCAGGGTCTCACTAAATTGCCCAGGCTGGCCTTGAACTCAAGATCCTCCTGCCTCAGCCTCTAAGGAGCTAAAATTAGAGGCCTATGCACAGAGACTCAAGACTTCTTGAAAGTCCCTTTTTTCTAGGTGGGGGCTGCGGGGGAGACAGCACTAAACCAGTGCATGTCAGTTGATGCTCTCTGGCCACCAAAGTCCTGACAGGTTTTAGATCACCATGACCTGTTTCTGTATTTTCACCTGAATTTGTTAATCTCTACCCTTTACAGATTTGGAGATTAAGAGGTAAAAAGATGACAGTTTATCAGAAATGTGCATTAAGGAATGAAAAAAGATACTTCCTGTTGGAGTAGTTTAGACCAAAATAGCTCTTAAAACCAGCATGGATGTTATCAACCTATATCCATACATTGCTTCCAATATTTTGAGATATTTGTTGTTTTAAGTTGCTTTTAACTTATGTAATTACCCCATATCTCTCTCTCACACACACACACACACACACACACACACACACACACATACACAAATACATTAGTCTGAGTCAGGGGCATGGAAGAGTACATACTTTAAGATTTGCTTAAGTTGTAAAAGCTGATTACATGGGAAATCCAAGGCATAGTAAAGTTGGTTGCATTGTTCTCTTAAGGCAGGTTGAACTTAAAACAGCTAAGTACACAGTAGGATAATGGGTTGTAGTTTTGTTTTGTTTGTTTGTTTGTTTGTTTGTTTTAACTCTTTTTGTGGGCCCTCCACCCAGCTCTCAAATAAATACACACGGAGACATATTCTTTCTTATAAATGCCCTGCCTTAGCTTGGCTTGTTTCTAACCAGCTTTTCTTAACTTAAATTATCCCATCTACCTTTTGCCTCTGGGCTTTTACCTTTCTCTATTTCTGTGTATCTTTTCTTTACTTCTTTCTTTTTTCTTTTATTTATTTATTTATTTATTTATTTATTTATTTATTTATTTATTTATTTTGCCAAATGCCATTTATTGAAGGAGGGAGAAGGTCTTAAATACAGGCTTACAGCACAATGGGAGAACCCCAGAAAGCAGAAGTTCGCTACAGTTGTTTTTTTGCGTCTAAACTGTTAACGCCCATTATGCAGGATACATAGACAAGGAACTTCCCTTAAGCATTTAGGAGGGTGGAACCTAGCAGGGAATTAGAATAGGGAGGATATCAAGGTCAAGGTCAGCAAGCAAGGCAACAGTTACCCAAAACAGGGGCCAGGACCCTACAGGTCCCCCTTTTACTAAGCTTCTGACTTAGGTTGTGTGGGACGTCAGCAGGTCACCTTACCCGTCATGGAGACACCTGCCCAGACCACACAGGCGCTCTGTCTTAGATTGGTGAGCGGTTCCCCCCCCCCCAGGCATTGCCTGTCTCTGAATACTCATTATCATACAGGCTCAATCATGTGTAAGCTGCAGAGTTAACTGTTGCCAAAGATCTCAAAGTGGCGCTGGGCTTGCAATCTGTGTGTTCGACACAGAAAAGACCAACAGAAGTCCTAAACCACACACATTAGTAGTGGGAGATTTCAACACACCACTCTCACCAAAAGACAGATCTGCCAGACTGAAACGTAACAAAGAAATAAAGGACCTAATAGATGTTATGACTCAAATGGACTTAATAGATATCTACAGAACATTCCATCCTAACACAAAAGAATATACCTTCTTCTCAGCACCCCATGGAACCGTCTCAAAAATCAACCACATGCTTGGTCACAAAACAAATATCAACAGATACAAAATAATTGGAATAACCTCCTATATCTTATCAGACCACCATGCCTTAAAGATAGACTTTTCTTTACTTCTTATTCCGTGTCTGGCTGGGTGGCTGGCCCCTTCTTTTCTTGCTCCTCAATCTTTCATCCTCAGATTTCTCCTCCCATTTATTCTTTCTGCCTGCCAGCCCCGCCTATCCTTTTCTGCCAAGCTATTGGCCATTCAGCTCTCTGTTAGACCAATCAGGTGTTTTAGTTAGGCAAAGTAACACAGCTTCACAGAGTTAAACATGCAACATAAAAGAATGCAATACAAAAAGAAAAAAAGAATGCAATACATCTTTGCATCATTAAACAAATATCCACAGAATAAACAAATGTAACACAAATTAATATTCCACAACAGCAGGTTGAGCACATAGTTTTAAATGATCTCAAGGCATATTCAATTGGTTTCAAGGTCTGACAAAATTCAGTCTCTTCAAAGGCAAGAAGTGTTTTCAGCCAAAGATATTACCAGAAGCAAATTATAGGCTACCACATAGATTTTTCTCACTCCAAATCTCTTTTTACTGTTAAAAAAAAAAAAAAAAACTGTAAAAAAATGTACAAGTTTTTTTCCTTTTTTAAAATATTGGGCTTGTAATAATTTCTGTTGTTAAACAATTTAATTTCCTGTTTCCAGTTATTCACTACTGTTCATAAATCCACATTTATTCAGAAGCATAGGACAGATCAGTATGAAAACCATTGGAATAGATCTGTACTCTGAATAAGGTTATGGACATGAAGTAGACACTGCCTACAAAGTTTATAATTTCAGTATCTCAAAAGTACCTCTGTAGTACAGTTAGCTTAAACTATAGGCAGGTTCTCCCACCACCACATATTTAGACAATAATGGTGTGTTTAAAAACAAAACATAAAACTCACTTCATTTGCTTAAATGTGCTTATGTGGCAGAACATAACACCCCACTTGAGGGAGTCAGCTCCTGTCTTTAGTTAAGCTGATCGTGTCCATTCTATTTTCACTAATCCTACTTGCCTTTTCAATTCTTCATCTTGTTAAAGGACTTGCTGTTGTGACCAAATATATTACAAAGGGCTGGAAAGAGGTCCATGAACTATATAAAGAAAAAGCACTTTCTGTGGAGACTGAAAAACTGTTAAAGTATCTGGAGGCTGTGGAGAAAGTGAAGCGTACAAAAGATGAGCTGGAAGTCATTCATCTAATTGAAGAACACCAGTTAGTCAGGGAACATCTGCTCACAAATCACTTGAAGTCTAAAGAGGTGAGTAAGTTCCTTTGAAAAGAGAAGTCTCACACTCCAGACCCTGGTTTCAGTCCCCAGCCCCTCCAATACAAGAGAAGGGGCTAGGAAGATGACTCAGTGTTTACAGCACTTGATGGACAAGCAAGAGGTCCAACCAGAGTTCATATGCCAGCTGAGAACCCAGAGATGGGATCCTTGCTTGCAAGGAACTAGCAAGACTAGCTTCATCGTTTATCAAGGAGCTCTAGGTTTGACGGAGAGACCCTGCCTCAAAAAGAAAAGTGAGAAGCTAGTAAGGAGGATTCCCAGTATCAACATCAGGCCTTTTCACAGACACACACACACACACACACACACACACACACACACACACACACACACAGTGAGACAGAGACAGAGAGACAGAGAGAATCCAAACATAACTTTAAAGTGATATTTATTTAAAAATATTCAACATTTCTGGGCGGTCTTTAATCCCAGCACTGGGGAGGTAGAGGTAGGTAGATCTCTGTGAGTTTGAGGCCAGCCTGGTCTACAAAGCAAATTCCAGCACAGCCAGAGCTGTTACACAGAGAAACCCTGTCTCAAAAGACAAAAAAGAAAGAAACAAACAAAAAGCTACCTTGAAAATTTAAAGAGCTCTATATTTTCTCCACAAAACTTTCAGTTTCTTATTGGATAAGCCTTTGATCAGTTGATTTGCATTCTGGAAGTACTTGAAACCCTAAGTTAACGTTTTACAGAATATATTGCTAAAATGGTTGATTTAGCTATGTAACACTGACTCAGTTCCCCTCAATTCTTTACATTTCTAGCTGTGCTATTCACCTTCTATGGTTCCTTTCTTCCCTGTAGGTATGGAAGGCTTTGTTACAAGAAATGCCGCTGACTGCACTGCTGAGGAATCTGGGAAAGATGACTGCTAATTCAGTGCTTGAACCAGGAAACTCTGAAGTCTCTCTGGTGTGTGAAAAACTGTGCAATGAAAAACTGCTCAAAAAGGTATGTGTGGCCCATGACTTGGTTAGCTAAAGAAGTTGGCTCTCAGGAGAACTAAGACTTCTCTCATGACAAGTTGCATTTAATTCTTAAATCTAAGTTAAATATTTGTTTTTTCTTTATTAAGTGTCTTTATTACCTCTAGTAATATAAAACTCTGAAGACTCATAATTGTTATTCTTGCTTGAAGTTGGCAACTACCTCCTGTCTGTCTTGTTTCTAGGCTCGTATACATCCATTTCATGTTTTAATTGCGTTAGAAACCTACAGAACAGGCCATGGGCTCAGAGGAAAACTGAAGTGGACTCCAGATAAAGAAATTTTGCAAGCATTAGATGCTGCATTTTATAAAACATTTAAGGTAATAGTTTTATTTTGTTTATTTAAAAAAGACTGAAGGATTAATATATTTTGTAAAAATACATTTCAATGGTAATATTAATAGTTTAGCCAGTTTAAAGTTATATGCGTGAGTTTTTCTTAATTGGTATGAAGGTGGCTGCAAAATTGATGTAAGTTTATCAGTAATTCTTGTTACTCTGAGCAGTAGCATTTTAATACTTTTTAAAGTCATATTGATAAATTACTGAATTTGAGAATTTGCATTTCCGTGGGTTCCTTCAACTTAGCACTGTTTTTTAATTCCATTGCTAATTGGGAGCCAAGTCTCATCAATCTGGTAATCAGGCTTTCAAAATGGAAATCAGAGCTATAAGTTAAAATATTTTTTATTTCAAAATTTTCTGCATATACCACAGAACCTAACATCCAGATTGAGTAGCAGATTAAGAGGGTTAAGCATAATCACCAGGTGACATTTATCCCTGACTCACATGATCGTGTCATTTGATACAGAAAAACCATTTGACAAAATCTAAATCTAACAGTAACATCCAAAATAAAAATCAAGAAATCACTTAATAAAATGGAAGGTGACTTCCTCACCATCATCAAGCTTATATTAAAAAAATTCTTAGATCTCATCATACTCAAATAAAACATCAAAAGCTTTTTCCTTAGGATCCAGAGTAAGGGTGGCTACTTTTCCCACTTCAGCGCCACATAGTACAGAAAGTTGTGGTAATTTTATAAGAAAAAAAGCCTCACGAAGCATGTTCAGTATTCTATGTAGAAAACCCCAAGGAATTCACAATAAACCATGTTAGAGTTAAGTGAATTCAACAGACTTATGGGTTATAAAGCAATGCCTTACACACACACACGCACGCACGCACGCACGCACGCACACACGCACGCACGCATTAAATGAGCCAGGCGTGGTGGTATGGATCTGTAATCCTAACACTTGGGTAATGGAAGTAGCAGTCAGAAGGTTAGAGCCACCTTCCACAACACAGCAAGTTTAGGCCACCCTGGGTTACCTGAGACAGTTTAAAAGAGCAGTAGAAGGAAGACAGGAATAAATAGAAGATGTGCACGAGTTACACACTGTAAACTATAAAGTGTCACCGAAAGAGTAAGGGCTAATGGAAAGACGTCATGCTCGCACAGTAGAAGAGCGTGAAGAGAACAGGGCAGCCCACAGCAACCTGCAGATTTCAAAGTCCCAGTGGCATGTTTGCAGGAAATTAAAAACCCACATAAAATTCTGACTCCGAGTAACCAGAACGGTCTTGAAGAGCAAATTTGCGGGATCCATACGTCTGGATTTCACAGCTCGATTACAATGCAGCAGTAACCAGAGCACTGTGCTACTCTTGAAAGGACAGACAGAAAGACAAAGGAATAAAACAAGAGTCTGGAACAGACACATTTGGACAGTTGTTGTTTAAGCACTTCAGAGTTAGTTTATTCAGAAAGGACAGTTTTCAAAAACGTTCCTGTAAAAACTGCACATTTACGTACCGAAGGAGCAAAATGGATCAGTATCTTACAGCATATTCAAAAAATATTTCAAAAGAGATCAGTGGCCTAAATTTAGGAGCTAAAAATGAAAACTAAAAAGAATAGTAAAGCACAGGTGATAACAACTAAATAAACTGAACTGCGAAATTTGTAGCCAGGCAGTGGTGGCACACGCCTTTAATCGCTAGCACTTGGTAGGAAGAGGCAGGCAGATCTCTGAGTTCGAGGCCAACCTGGTCTACAAAGTGAGTTCCAGTATAGCCAGGGTTACACAGAAGAACCCTGTGTCAGGAAAAAAAAAGGAAAGAAAGTTGTGTGCCTCATAGAGTGTTATGAAGAAAGCGGGAAAAGAATTGCATAATGGGAGAAAATATTTGCGGATTGTGTATCTGAAAGGGGTTTAGTATTGATAAGCCCTGCAGTTCAATAGTACAAGTCATTTTAAAATAGGCAAAGTGCGTGAATATATAGTTTTTCAGAATTATATAATTGGCCAATAAGTACATAAAAGATGCTCAATATGGTTACCCAGATCAAAAGCACAATGAGATGCCACTTTGTACCTAATTGAATAGCTGTTAGCAGAAAAGGAACAGGTATTGGGATGTGGAAAAATTGGAACCCTTTTTTATTGTCCATCAGTGACAATCTAAAATGTTGCAGCCAGTGAAAATGAGGATCAAATGTTAAACATTCAGTGCTCAGCATACTGTGCATGTCTGTAAACCCCTACTGCATTGGGCATGGTGGGACTACGGCAGGGGGCTCACTGTGAGTTCAGAGTCCAGCTTGGGCTGCATAGTAAGGGTGAAGCCAGTCAGGCTCCATAACAACATCCTGTCTGTCTGAAAAAGAAACATCGAAAACAAACATAAAAAGTAAAGTAAAACCACCAAACTGCCGGGAGTGGATGCCTTTTCCAGCTTTGGAGAGGCAGAGTCAGACAGACCTCTGAGTTAAGGGCCAGCTTGGTCTACATAGCAAGTTCCAAGACAACCAAAGCTATATGGAAAGACCGTGTCTCAAAAAGGAAAGAAAGGAAGAAAGGAAAGAAAGAAAAAGAGAGAGAGAAAGGAAGGAAGGAAGGAAGGAAGGAAGGAAGGAAGGAAGGAAGGAAGGAAGGAAGGAAGGAAAAAGAAAGAGAGAAAGGAAGGAAGGAAGGATCTCCAATACCATCAAGAATTCAGCCTCTGTGTGCCCCAGAAGACCAAAAGGAGGTACTTGACCTTGTACTTGTACACTAGTGACCATCCCAGATTACTCAAGGAGCCAAAAGGTACCCGGGTATGTTCTGTGACTGCATTGTGAAGCACACACTGTAGAGCCAGAAAACACCCAGAAGGTGCAAGGCTGCTCAAGGTGAATGCAGAAGCTTAAGGGTGCTGCCTAATTGGATTGTGATAATGAGAGCATCTAGAAATAGAGTCAGTGCTTACAGGCTGTAAATAGCTACTTAATGCTGTCAAACTATACTTTTAAAAATGGCTAAATGGTAAACATTGTTATTTATCGTTTACTACAGTATAAATAAATAAATAAACCTTAGAAGTTCCCATTTTACTTCATTAAGAAAAGTTTTAAAAACTAGGACCTTAAAAAAAAAAACCTAGGACCTTAGCTTCTTTAAGTAAAATTAAACAGATTACATTGTTTTCTTCATTTTACCAATTAATAACAGAATTTTAAAAATAATAGTCACTTAACTTACATATCAAAAAACCAGAGCCTTTTGAATGAAAGATAAAGAAATAAGATTTGGGTTTGTTTTTTTTTTTTCTTTTTTTTGGTAGCTTAATCTACTTACAGCCCCTGACTTTTTCATGACCATCTTGTTTTCTTTTTAGACGGTCGAGCCGACTGGGAAGCGTTTCTTGCTAGCTGTTGATGTCAGTGCGTCTATGAACCAGAGAGTTCTGGGTAGTATACTCAATGCTAGTACTGTTGCTGCAGCAATGTGCATGGTGAGATCCCTAAAATGTGTTTAAATAAAGCTGTAAAGGGGGAAGAGATGGCTCAGCAGTTAAGAGCATTGGCTGCTCTTTCAAAGAATCCAGGTTCAATTCCCAGCACCCACGTAGCAGCTCACAACTATAACTACAGGCATCCAGACACCCTCACAACAGACATACATTCAGACAAAACACCGGTGCACATAAAATAAAACAAAAACAAAACAAATAAGAATTAGTTTTTCACTTATTTTGTCATTTCACTTAACATTTACCATTTTATATCTAAAGATAAGTTTATAACGCAAAGTTTTAGTTATATTGAAAATGCACGTGTAAGGAAGGAACAGTCAGAATTGAGCTGCCAGATTCTGTAGCAAGATTGAATGTTACTAGTATTTGCAAAAATAGATGATGAGTAGAAAGGTGGTTAGAAAAAAATATGCTTAGCGGGGCAGTGGTGGCGCACGCCTTTAATCCCAGCATTTGGGAGGCAGAGGCAGGCGGATCTCTGTGAGTTCAAGACTAGCTAGTTCCAGAACAGCCAAGGCTACATAGAGAAACCCTATTTTGGGGGCTGGAGTAGGGGTGGAGGGAGCGAGGGTGGAGAAAGAAAGAAATGTTTAAAAGCTCAAGAAGCTGGTGATGGGAATTAGGGAGGTTCAGTTCTCAACCATGCTTCCATTACCACGTAGCAAGGAAGCCTTCTCTTCTGTGCCTTTATTCCTAATTTAGTAAAATGAGAAGCATGTGTTTGTTTATTCAACTCAGAGGGTGCTGTAAATACCAGTTGCTCAGAGATTTTTTGAGTCATGCTTTTTATTTGTTTTCCTTCATTGATTGCATTGGCTCTTGGGGAGGCAGACCCTCAGAGGATAACTTAATAGGAGTCATTCTGTCCTTCCACCCTGTGGATTCCAGGGACTGAGTTCTTGGCCAGTACCTTTGCCCACTGAGCCATCTCACCAGCCGTGAACAGTGCTGTGACTCTGGTTTCTGAAACACAAAAACAAGTTTCGGGATAATAAGCACCATAGTATTCCTTTCAGAGATAAAGTTTGAAAAGCCTTTAAGAGACTAATTATTTCAGTATGATGAAAATTGTTACCATTGCATTTTACAGGTGGTCACACGAACAGAAAAAGAGTCTTCAGTGGTTGCTTTTGCATGTGATATGGTACCGTTTCCTGTGACTACAGACATGACCTTACAGCAGGTTTTAACGGCTATGAATAAAGTAAGACACTGTTTTATTAACATGTCCTGTAACTTTTTTACTTGGGGCTTGCATAATATCTGTAGGAAGGAATTGTTCTAACTTCTCATAGCAAGCACAATAGAAAATATATATGTGCAGGCATGGCGAAGCCTGATACTGGTTTTACATAAAATGGTGCTCTAAAAAGTAGGGCTTTTGTGTATTCATTTCAGACATCTGCTGGACAATGCTACTTTTTTTTTTTTTTTTTTTTTCTGCGCTAGGTCCCAGCTGGTAGCACCGATTGCTCTCTTCCAATGATCTGGGCCCAGAAGACAAACACAGCTGCCGATGTCTTCATTGTATTCACCGATAATGAGACCTTTGCCGGACAGGTGCATCCTGCTGTTGCCCTGAGGGAGTACCGACAGGTAAAACACAAACCTGCTTCACACCACACAATACTCCGTTCCCTTTGAGTATCTTCTCTTCATTTCATGTGTAGAAACCCAGTGTCAGGTGGGCTCAGCAGTACTTGAAATAAAAAGGTCAGGACAACACCTACATCACCCAGTTCCAGTGCTAAATTAATAAGAATATCATTTGGCAGCAGCTTTTGATAATGACCAAATAGTATTTGACCTCAGCTAATATTTTTCATGTTACAGTGCATTCTTTGAAAAATGAAATCATTACTTGTGAGAACTAAAGGCCTACATAAAGTCACAGCACGTTTTTCAGTCTGTCTTCTAAACTTAGGGAAAGATCTGTTTTGATCCTTCTCCTGGACAGAAGTGGTCTGTTACTGTTCTGTCCATTATGGTAGACACTGGTTGCTAGGCTGTTGAGTGTGAACACGTGGATCACATGACTAGAAGGATAAGCAGAACTTGCTATGAAGAACAGTGGTTCTCACAACGTAAGTTTTCTACCAGCTGTAGCATCATTTGGTGTTCACATTAGAAATGTAAATCGCAGACCCTATCAGACAGACATCTACTGAGTCCAACTCTGGGTAGGGTTCAGGTTTCTCATGAATGCCTTACTTTTGAGTTCCATAAAGGAGGAAATAGTATTTGGACTAAAAACAGTCTGGATATGTTGTTGGTTGTTTTACTTTTACACCACT